GGGCAAAACCACAAAATCGGAGACCTGGTCATGGCACTTTTTTTTTCACCGAAACTGACCGAAAAAAATGTTTTGGGTATCCTCGATGGTTGCCCTGAACGATTCTAACACACATTTATTTTTATATGAATCCAGCTCTTGTAAAAAACAAATCGAAATTGCCTCTTTAGTCTGGTGAAGTTTGACCAACCATTCAGGGTCTACTTCAGCCGTAAATATTACGAGTTTGATGCATGCTACAGAAAAAATGAAAATTGGTTCGTGTTCGGGACATTACTGGGAACCGGAAACCACTTTAGAATTTTCGTATCGCACAGTAGTTACGGAGAAAAGATCAGAGAAAGTTTTTAGAATTTGTGTGTCCGTCCGTCACAAAAATGTTCGTTTTGTTTATCTAGGGCCGTTGCCCTTCGTTTTTTTGACTTGAGCTTTACCCTCTATCAATTATTCGCGATGATGAACATTTTTGGTCAGAACATGTCTTGCGTTAAAATGGCTGGAAATAGGTGAAACGAGTGTGACGGACGGACATTCTTGCTTTCGTGACGGACGGACGCTGCCTCTCGGGGAATCTCAGAACTGTCTCAAAGTTCTCTAGCGCGCGGGGTGTCGGCGGTATCGGCTACTTCGGAACACTAGCGCTTCGTGCGGCCGCCGCTGCAGGCTGGTCCATCATCAGATGTGTCAAATCAACACATGTTTACGACATTGGCAGAGGTGTGCGTGGATTAGTAGATTGTGGGCACCGAGTGACGCCCAGATAAACAGGGAGGAGCTCAAAATTCAAGTGCAAAGTCACTATAGACTTGATGACATATCCTGGCAGTCACCTAACAAAAAAGATAGGGTCATAGTACGCACAAAGGATGGAAATGGTAAAACTGTTAAACAGTACATTCAAAAAAAGTACTTAATAATGTCTATTAATGAAGCTTTTGCCCTCTTTCACGAACGAAACCCTAATGTTGAGCTAAAGATTAGCAAGTTTCAAGAACTTCGACCCATAGAGGTCGATATTTCGCGTAACTTGCCACACAACGTGTGTCTTTGCAAAATACATGAAAATATGAAATTTTTGTTAGATGCACTGTGTCCTCATGTGGGAATTCCCCGCTTGTCCGGGTCCTCGGATGAGTTCATCAGTGCTCTTACTTGCGCAGTACCTCAAAAAGAATGCTTTAGTCTGAAATGTGCCGACTGCTGTCTGAACATCGATGGTTACGACCCAAAGTACGCTCGATTGGAAAGCAAGAAAGAGACTGTCTCTCAATGGGGCACCGTTGATGGTATACTGACTATAAAAGCACAAAGTATGACACTGGCAGAAATTTTTGCTGCAGTGAAAGGAAGCCTAAAGGGTTTTCTGGTTCATGTGTATGTAAAAAGGCATCAATCACACACATTTGAGGAGAAAAAGAAGCGTGTGGACGGACATCACATTGTGATGCAAGTCGATTTCGCCCAAAACATGGAGATAAAATTGCAAAATGAAGTCCAGTCTGCCCACTGGCGACACAAGGCAGCCACACTATTCACATCCCATGCTTGGTTCGGTCCGATTGAGGAGGAGCCTCATGTGATCATTTCAAATGACCTAATGCATGACAAGGTGGCGGTACACGCCTTCATGGACCACCTTTTTGAACATATCTCTCAAACTAGAGACGATGTAAAATTTGTGGACGTATTTTCTGACAACTGCGCTGCACAGTTTAAACAAAAGTACATCCTGTCCCTACTTCATGTTTACGAACTGAAGTACGGATTCCACATAACTTGGCATTTTTTTGCGGCGGGTCACGGGAAAGGCGTGGTGGATGGGCACGGTGGTACTGTGAAAAGTGCCGTATGGAGACGGTTACTTTCGGGAAAAGTTCTCCGAAACGCCAAAGAAGTGGCTGATTTGGCGGCTAAAATCTGCCCTAACATTCGCGTCTCCTATGTGAGTGCAGAAAAAGTGAGAGAAAATGAAGAGGCTCTCAATGATCACTTTGAGGCAACGAACACTTTTCCTGGGACACAGCGGTTCCACTGGTTCAGACCGCAGCCAGGCGGCCCCGCCTATGCCATGGAAGCGAAAGAAGAATCTGATGCTCAAGAAATAGCAAGGTTCATCATCCGCAACGATTAAATAGTCAAATGATAGGGGATGACAGCCATTTACTTATTATTTTTTATTATTTAGTTTATTTAAAGATTTATTGTTGTTTTTTATTTTGTTGTTTTTTTTGCATTTTGTTATAAAATGAGATAGTTTAATTTACAGGCACGAAAACATGCCCAAAATAAATGTTTTCTATGAGTTAAACGCCCCTGATTCCGTACGTGTCCGTCCGTCACTTTTTCCCTGTCTGTCCGTCACGCTCCGTCACGCCACGAAATATTTTATACCTGACCACAGCAATCCTTCAAAATTCCAACGACAACGTAGTTGTCTGGCCTAATCCCATAGCTATCATCACGATTTTTTTCAAAACCTCATTCATGTTAAATTCGCAGAGTTTTGACAATGATTACCATCATGTCGAAAGTGGCTTCCAAAATTTGTCTGTCCGTCACGCAAGTTCACGGGGCTGTAGAATTCGAACTACTGACCCTACAATGTTGATCGCGGAACCGAAAAATTCGTCTTTAGATTCCCCGAGAGTTGGCATAGTTGACGGAAATTTAGTTCGGCGGAAAACTGGTGAAATATGCTGAAAATAACGAAAAAAATTGTACAAACGTCCGTCCGTCACGCGTGGTTTTGCCC